CAGGGAGGTGAGCACAACATACCAATAACAAGCTTTGGGGACCCTGGAAGTGGGGGCTGGGCCTCCTGGCCTTTCGCCTGCTTCCCGGTTGTGCATGAGAGGCCCTAATCACCTCCTTGTTCAATTTCCTTCTCCCTTCCCCCACAAAGTTTCTTACCTGACAGACTGGGGGCAGTGTGGGGTGGTGAGAAGAGAGCAGTCTGGGGACCAGGTGCACCTGTCTAGGTACAATTCCGGGCCACAGGACCTCGGGCCATTCCCTTCCCCTCTCTGAACCTGTTTCCTGAAGTGTTAAGTGGGAAGGGGCAGCGGAGAGTGGGGCACGAGGTAACCAATGGAAAGCCACATCAGGGCCGCTTCACGCCCTCTCCCCTTCCCAGGTTCCTTGCAGTGAAAATGGTCACAGCCCAGATGTCGCTCTCCCTTCCTCTGGTCCAGATCCCAAGTCCTGACTGCAGGGGTCTGCTAAAAACACAAATGGAGTCTGGCCACCTTCCACCTCACCCTCTCCTCTTGGCTCCTCCGTGCCCCCAGAACCACACTTGGTTGCCCCCATGGCTACCTGGCCCTGAGGCCTGCCCCTCCACCCCCGTCTCCTGCCTCCTTTCTCCCCACTGCCAGCCTGTACTCAGGGCCTCAAAATCCTCATTCTTTCCTGCCTCAGGACCTTTGCATTCACCATGCCCCAACCCAAGCTAGTCTTTGTAGTCTGCCCCCTCCAAGTCACCTTCCCCAATCCCCCAAACAGTCTCCTCTGTCCTTAGCCCACAGAACTGCCACTGTCAACCCAGCCTTGAGTTCCCATCTCCCTGTGTGTCCACTTGGTTCTTATCTGCCCCTTGCCCGACCAGGATGGAAGATCCATCAGATCAGGCAGCAGACCCCTCCTGCCCATCCCGTGTCCCCAGCCCCAGGCCTGGAGTCTGGCATTGGAATGTTCAGCAACCGTGAATGAATTCTGGAATCTATATTGGTCCTTAGACGCGCCAAACACTCTGTCCTGGGCTGTGGCCCTGGGCAAGTCTGGTGTGAGCCCTGTCTAGGGAGGGGTCCTGGAGGGGGAAAGCTGCCCAATGGTCCTCGCCTGACGACACCTGCCCCTCAGCGTGGACGTGGGCCCTGCAGCTCTGTACCCGGCCAGACAGGTTCGACAGGATTGCTGTGGACAGGACTCAGCCTCTGCTCAGAACAGCCCATCCCTCACCTGCAGCCGGTTACCTGGTGCAAGGTCTGAGGGCTTCTGGCCCAGGAGGTCTGGCTGAGCCTCTCTCTCCCTGGCCTGGGGGCTGTTCCTCAGCCTCTCTGGCCTTCGGGGCCCGCCTCACCATTCCTCCAACAACACCCACCGGGCATCTATGATGCGTAGGGGCTCTGCCTGGAGTTGGGGGTTCAGCGGTGAGCGGGAAGGATGGATCTTAGCCTTTTGGGGGAGTCATAGTTCAGGAACGTCAGGTGATAGCGAGTGGCTGGGGCCTGAGAGTGGGGACACATGTCTCTGGGAAGAGCCCTGGCTACGGTGGGCTCCCTCAGCCTGAGAGGAGGATCTCAGCTTATGTGGAGAGCTCCAGAAAACACCAGTTGCTGAATCAGGAAATGAGGCAGGAAGTGAGGCAGGCAAGAGAAGGAGCCAAGACAGGCTGTGCCAGGGAGCGCTCTGGGCACCTGAACCTCCATCCCTGGGGGAGGATTCCTTCCCGGCGGGGTGGAGGGGGTGACAGGGAGCACTGCGGGTACATGGAGCTCCCTGCCTGGGGGAGCAGAACATACCTCAGAGGCTCCCCAACCCGGCCAGCCAGCTGGGGTGTTGAACCCAGTTCTCACTGGGCATTGGCTGCCAGCTGTTCTGGGTTGACGGTGCTGGAGTTGGTTCTGTGGTTCCTCGTAGGGTGCAGTGTGTCGCAGAGAAAGCCCCAGGCAGCCAGAAGCGTGGCCCATATCCCTGTGGCCGGGCCTGGGGTGTGGGTGCTGGGACAGCTTCTGCCACAATCTCTAAGGCCTTTTTCATGGCCATGGAAGGAGCGCTCACTCCCACATGGTGCCATGGCCTGCCCGCTAGAAACACCAGGGCCACCGCAGTGTTCCCAGGTGCACTTGGAATAAAAGCCTGCCAGACTAACGAGTGGGATCCCGCCTGTGTCCACCCCATCCTGTCTGACTGCTCCGGCTCACATTCTCTGTCCCCGCCAGTCTGGAGCCACACTTCCTTGCAGCGCTGCAGCTCCTTCCAGCTGCACGGACTTCCCTGGCCACTTCCCCTGCCTAGAAAGCTCTTTGCCCGTTGTTTCCATTTCTGCCAGGTCTTGGTTACGGTTTTGGTTGGAGGACAGTCTCTCCAACTGACATCCCAGCACTTGGGACTCTCTCCCTGTGGCCTCCATGCTCAAAATGCTCATTCTCTCCTGCCTCAGGGTCTTTGCACTTGCCATGCCCTAACACAAGCTAGTCTTTCCAGGCCACCCCCTCTGAGCCACCTCCCCACTTCTCCAAACAGGCTCCTCTGTCCCTGGCCTGCAGGGCAGTTACGGTTGCCTTTGCATGTGGAGTCGGTTCTCACTATGGCACGGCCCTGCCTCTAAGCTGGGGAATCCAGCCATTGAGGAGTGCTTGCCAAGAGAATGAACGAGCCCTCAACAGTGATTCAGATAAGGGTCCTGGGTCCACAGGTGTCCCCCAACACAGTGTGTGGCCTGCACCAGCGCCCCCTCTGCACTGCATCTCCTTTGTCCACTGTGGTGGTTGGTCCCCAAGATCTCCAGGGGCCCCGCTGGCCCTCACCTTTGAAGCTCTGGGACACAATTATCAAGGGAGACCCGCTGCCTACACTCCCAGAGCTGAGAGCCCAAACAAGCTCTTAAATCCATCAGTGACATCATCTTCCAAGTGAAGAAAGCAAGACCCCTGGCCTAGACACGAGGACAGGGCAGAGGCGACTGCAAACGCTCCTGAGCGAGCTGGTTAGGAAGGTCACTAGTTGTCTGGACCTGGAAGTTGAGGAACCCTCAGCAGGAAGATGGGAACGACATCAACTCAGACCCTCCTCTTTGGAAACTCAACCTGGTGAGGGAGAGTGGATACATCAAGACTCCTTACACCACCAAAATCAACTCTGGCTAAGTCCAGTCAAGGTAAAGCAAGCAAGGAATGTGCCAGGAAGTTATAGGTTAGCTCACAGAACCAAAAGAAGAAGTAAAAATTCACATACTGGAAATAACTGGTTTGGATATGATATTTAGGTAGCAGAACCAATGGGAAGCCCTTGGATGAATGAATTCTCTCTGCTTTCATCCTCAAGTCACTCTACACAAGATCCAAATTTCCTTAATATATAAAGAGTTCCTACCAATCAATAAGACAAATAAAACTGCAATAGAAAAAATAAAACAGAAAAAAAGTCCACAAGTATGGACATGAACAGGTAGTTCACAGAACAGGAAGTAGAAATGGCCTTGGAGCTTATAAACAATGTTTAGCCTTATTTATAATCAGAGAAGTGTGAATGGAAACTATAGTTCAAGACCATTTTTCACCTATCGGATTGGCAATCATCCAAAACTATGATAACACTGTGTTGGTGTGGGTGTGGGAGACACGCTGTCTCGTACCTTACTGGTGGGAGTATAAACTGGTAAAGCCACTATCAACATTTTTTTTTAATGCACGCCTTTTGATCTGAAAACTTACTCCTAGAAATTTACAGGGACACTTGCAAATGTGCTGATGGCCCTAGTACAAGGATATTTATTGTGGTATGCTTTTCTTGTAATAGCAAGATTGGAAAGAATCTAAATAGCCATCAATAGAGGATGGTGAGCTCTATAATAATGTAGCCACTCAGTGAACTCTGCAACTGTGAAAAAGAAGAATGACATAGCTTTACATACTGCAGCCTGGAATGATCTTCCAGATAGACTATCCCATGAAAAATCATGGTGCATGCATATTTGTGAAAGCCTCCATTTCTGGTCTCTGAATTCAGAACGCTCACCTTTGTCTTGTGTGGTTACTGTTCACTCCCCACCAGTAGGTCACAGAAGTGTGACCCCTCACACCTTCCCATGCGCCCCTTTCCTGGCCTGAATGGCCTTGGTTTCCAACTGTACACCTATGACTCTTTGCAGCAAGACTGTCATCAGGCTATTGGAGTCCCTTGGCCCTTTCTGCAGAGAGGAAGTGTCCCCCTGCCACAGGATGGCCCTTCACTAATGACTGACACGTGTATCCTTAGCTCTGGCTGGGAAACGGAGATGTGACTCCACTCCACAGTCTGCCGAGGGACCTGCTTCTGTGGGATTTTGCCTGGGGTCACAGCCTTGCATGGCTTCTCCCCTCTCCGTCAGTGACCCCCATTCCCTTACCGCTCTCCTTGGGTGCCTGTCCTTCATCAATCACTGCCATACAAATCAGGCTCTGCTTCTGGGGAACGTGACCAAGATAGCTGCTCCCTTACCCTGCACCTTGCTTTTTGCAAGCAGGTTGTGCCTGCATATGCAAGTGTATGATGCAATGTGGGCACCGTGGTTCTTCCCGTTTCACAGGTGAGGGACCTAGAGCTCCACGGCTTACACTTAGGAAGTGGCAAGCGACTTTGAAGCCAGGTAGTCTGGCTCCAGGGCCAAACTCACATCCACTGTTATATTGAAAATAGCCTAGAGAAGGAAAGCTCCAAGTGCAAGGAAAATCTGTATTGTCAAAGCAGGCCAAGAGGGAAGATCATTTATTTTCCCCAAAAATTCTTTTCTGTGGTCTTCCCTTCATAAACACAGATCCCACTGTCAGATGCAAATCCTAGAGCTAGAAATGGGACATTCAAGGTAGGCAGAGCTCTTGGGAACAGCACGTTTGCAGAGATGGGAAGGGAACCTCCCACTGGTTTGGTTTCTCCATGGCTACGGGCAAAGCCTGCCTGCTCTGCATCCGGGAATCTTGGTCAGGTGTTGGAATCGGTGGGTGGATTTCCGGTACATTTGCACTGTGTCCTAGAGAGCCTCTATGCATTTCAACTCGGATTTGCCTTCACCACCCACGTGCAGCCCACAACCGCAGGACCCCGCCCCTGGTCCTCAATCTCCCATGTCCTGGTGCCAAGCAGGTGAGTCAGCCCAGGAGGAGGAAGGGCTCCTGGAAGCCAAGCCCATGCTGGGGTGCCGAGGAACAACTTTCCTATGCAAGAGGTGCCTGAACACCCCCGATGATCAAGCCTGAGCCCCCTCACCTCCCCGAAGTGTGGTGGAGGAAAGACAGGCTGGAAAGAGGTGGCAGTCTTCGCCCGCTGTGATTGAGTTTCTCACTCATGCCACATTTTACATAAGCTGGGGACCAGAGGACCACAGGCCAGAGATCTCGGTGGGCCCAGGGCCTTGGAGGGCCTGGATGACCAAAGGGTCCAAGGCTTAGGCCCTGGCTCTGCATGGGGAATCTTGGGAAGGATGGAAGCCCACAGCCCCTACCAAGGAAGGAGCCACAGGCCAGATCTTTTGCACAAATCCTGCCTGTGCTCCTTGATTGTCCCTCCCCACCAGGGCCCCAGTGACAAGACAGGCAGGAGCCTGTGTCCGTTCATGGAACCAGCATCTTGAGGGGGGCCCTGGCCTGAGCGTGCTGCTGCAGGGGACCCTCATGCTGGATGGCTGGCCACTCAGCAACCTTTTCTCTGTGGGGAAGGGATGACATTTGAGAGCCATCAAAGACGGTCAGGAAAAACAAAGGCCGCCACGGAGGAAGCTGAAGGCAGAAAGAGATACAGAGAAAATGGGATAAGCTCAGCTGTGCTTTGTCAGGGCCCTGCAGGGACATTGGCTCCTGAAGGGGTGAGAGACAGGGTTCCCTGAACTTTGACACTCTGTTCTTCTTGAGGCCTGGCTGGCCCTGTGGCTCCTCAGAGGAGTCTGGGTGCCTCCTGTCCCTAGTACCTGACAAGCCCCAGGTAAGAAGACCTGAGTTCACCTGTGCTGCCACTTATAACCTGATGGCCCTGGCACTCTTGCAGGGTCCGAATAGTTGCCCTTTCCATCTGTTTCCTAGATTTTCCACACCAACCAGAAGCTCATATTCAACCCTACAGCCTACAAGTCAGCCAGGGGCCTTTGGCCACATGTACTGATGATGAGAATCACTAGACTGTAAGCTGCAAAAGGGCAAGGACGGTGTTTTGTTCCCCGCTACCCCCTGCACCTGAGGCCCAGCGAGGATTGCTGCTCAGATGAAGGAGAGTGAGTGTTCGTGGAACTCTTTGCAGAAGCCACGGGAAGCCCTTCCTGCGCCTTCTCAAGTTTAGTTCTCAGACAGCCCCCCTTTCCAGATGAAGAAACAGAGGCTCAGAAAGGAGAATAAACTTGTCCAGAATCGGTGGTGAGGCTGGGATTTGAACCCCATCCTGTTGGACTCAACACTTCCTCTGAAAAGATGGGAAAAGGGAGCTGCCTACTTCTGGCTTCGGGAACTGGCAGAGAGGAGCAGAGCTGGGCCAGATGTGTCACCTCCCAAGCTCTGCTGCACCCAAGGGTTTCCAGGGTCCTTTTCCTCCATTTGGCTCTTTTCTTCTCTGGACTTTCCTACCTTCAAGGATTGGACTCCTTGCAGGGAGCACAGAGCAGAGAACAGAGGAGGCCCATCTGAGGAGAGTGTGCTGGAGCAGATGGGGTACACAGAGAGCCCCCAGACCTCAGCCTCACCTGGAGAGCGCCTCCCTGCAAGCTGAGCCTCTGTGTGCCCAGAAGTGACATAGGCATTCAGGAAAGGGACTGAGGGAGGAAAGAAGGAGCCATTCCTCTTCCCAGGGGCGCCTGTCCTGGGTTCCTGAGGGAGGCTCCGTGTTTACATCTGCAAAGGCCAGTCCCAAACACACCAGAGTGCAACGCCCTCCCTCAGACCCAGGGCCATCCTCAGAGCAGCTGGGAGGCAGCCTGTCCACCCCTACTGCAGGCAGGTCGCCCAGGCAACCTCCTCTTAGAGCTCCTGAATTCCAGAGCATCAAATAGAAAAGTGAAAAACAGGCTGGGTGTGGTGGCTCACACCTGTAATGCCAGCACTTTGGGAGGCTGAGGCAGGCAGACCACTTGAGATTAGGAGTTTGAGACCAACCTGGCCAACACAGTGAGACCCTGTCTCTACTAAAAATACAAAAAAATAAATAAGCCAACCATGGTGGTCCACACCTGCAGTCCCAGCTACCGGGGAGGCTGAGGCAGGAGGATCATTTGCATCCAGGAGATGAAAGTTGCAGTAAGCCAAGATCGCGCCGCTGCACTCTAGCCTGGGTGACAGAGTGAGACTCCGTCAAAAACAAACAAACAAACAAACAAAGAATGAGAGAGAAAAGAAATGCGATAAAATGTTAATAATGGGTGAATGTAGGTGAAGAGTATGTGGCAGGGTATTTTTTATTCTTGCAAATTTTGTGTAGGTTTGAAGTTATCTCAGAATAGCAAATGTAAGAATGATTCCTGCAGACACACGAGTGATTTCAGCTGTTCACAGGGCTCAGGCAGGAAGCAGATCTCTCGTCCCCCTCTGATCCGGGTCACTTAGTCCAGTCCCTGAAAGCAGTGGATGGACAACCACGCCACCCTCTTTCTTCAAATACGCCTTGTTTTCTATCCTGCCCTTTTTGTGTAGCATTATATCATGAGCATTTTCCTGTGCTATAAATATCCTCTAAAACATGTCGTTTCTTGCAGCTCCCTAGTGTTCTACCCATGACTTCCTCGGTTGCTCCGCCTTGGTGGAATTCAGTGATTCTTCTGCCTTTTCACCATTGTAAATGATGCTTTCGTGAACAGCTTTGTAAGTTCATCTGTGCTGTACCTCTAACCAGTCTCTTCTGGAAGAGTCTAAGGAAGGAGACAGGGGCATGGATCACCGACTTTTTTTTTTTTTTTTACACAGTCTTGCTCTGTCGCCCAGGCTGGAGTGCAGTGGTGCGATCTCAGCTCACTGCAAGCTCCGCCTCCCAGGTTCACACCATTTTCCTGCCTCAGCCTCCCGAATAGCTGGGACTACAGGCGCACGCCACCACGCCCAGCTAATTTTTTGTATTTTTAGTACAGACTGGGTTTCACTGTGTTGTGTTAGCCAGGATGGCGTTGATCTCCCAACCTCGTGATCTGCCCGCCTCGGCCTCCCAAAATGCTGGGATTACAGGCGTGAGCACTGCGCCCGGTTGACCACCGGCTTTTGAAGGCATTCTGTGGGTCCTGCCACACCGCCTTCCAGCATTCCAGAAAGGTGGTCCCAGTGAACAACCCACCAGCACGGGGCCCCGCTTCACGGTGCCTCAGCAAGGCCAGTGTCCCTATACAGCAAAATTAAACCATTTGCCAACTCAAGGCACTCCAGATGGATCTCTCTGTTCTCTTTGATGACTGATGTGTCCATTTTTGTTTCCTTCAGTGCACGAAGGCTGCGCATTTTCCCGGGACTGTCAGGGTGGTTTTCTTACCAATGTGTGATGGTTGTGAGGGTTCAATTGAGTCAATGCCTGCAAAGTGCTGGCCCAGCGCAGGAAAAGCACCCAGTGCTTGCTGGCTGTTTGCCATGCCACTGCCCGGGTCACAGGCTGGGTCTGCTGCTCGCTGGCAGTGCCACTGTAGCCAGGCTGCTCACCTCACTGAACCTCAGTTTCCTTCTCTGTGAAAGGGGAGCACCTTCCTCACAGGGCTGTGGCGGAGTGAAGGCAGGTAAAGCACTTAGGAGGGTGCCCTCCCAAGCCTGGGGCACTGCAAATGCTACTGGGATTTGCATAGGAAGGAAATTGACCCTTTGTCCTATTTATTGCCCATAGTTTCCTTCCGGAATCTGAAAGTGGAGTGTGGTGTGGCTGGCAGAGCAGACTGCCCATGGGAGCCAGGAGGATGGGAGGAGGGAAGGGGTGGGGCGGTCTCCTCCAAGGCTGCTGTAATGCTGACCTAGAGACCTCCAGACTGGGGCAAGTCCCACACTCAGCTGGCCCTGCTCCTGCCACTAGGCCTGGCACACATCGGGTGTTCCCTGAGCCACGTCGAGGAAGGAATGTCTAACTCTTGAAAACAGTCTAGAGCCATAAAGATAGTCCTAGTTGGACCCAGACCAAACCTCAAATTGGTCCCAAGGAAGATTTCACAACTTCCTTTGAGAGATGCCTCTCAGTGTCGCCCAGCACGGGTCAGGAAGTCCTTCTTGAGAGCTAACCTAAATCCTTCCTGCTCGCCCTCCTCATGCTCGGAAGAGGAGGCAGCAAGGAGGGAGGGACAGGTGGGCCTCTTACCTCAGAGCCCAGATGAGGTCCTGAGAAGGTGAGGCTGGGCCCTGACTCAGCTTCAGCCCACACTATTTCCATTCCCTTCCGGTGACTCAACAGGGGAGGGGCCCTGGGGCCACTCACCTCTGTCTTCTCAACCTGCAACTCCCCCCACCGCTTCCTGGATTCCTGTGACGCAGGAATCCCTCTGGTGTGTGTGGAGGAACCCAGAGCAACTTGAGCCAGAAGTGGATGTCCAAGCCGGCATGAGTCACCCCTCAAAATCAGGACCAGTGAGGGCTTGAAGAGGCCACACTGTCTCCGGCAGCCTGGCCACTTCTCACTTCTCTGGGAAAGTGGCCTGGAGCTCGCATGGCATCTGGGCCCAGCCTCTGCCTCTGACCTGCACTGCCCCCTGTGTCACCCGCCTCCAGGGTGACCCTCGTCCTGGCATTCAGACAGCTCCACCCACTGCTTCAAACAAACCTCTTCCACCCTGGTTCAAACATTAACCAGCTGTGTGACTTTTTAGAAGCCCTTCCCATGTTTAAAAACCAAGCTGGAAGGATGCTGCACCACTGCCATCATGGCTCTCACTGAACCGTCACAGGAAAAAGCATTTCTTGAGCCATGGCTGTGTGCAGAACAGGCTTCCCACGGTTGAGTCCCCCAGCCCCCCAGAGACACTGCCAGTGAAATGCCATCAGCCTCAAGCATGGTTCTTGGTACCCAGCCCTGGTAAAACCACGTGTCTCAGGCCTTCTGAACCACAGTGCCCAGAGCTCTGGCTGGGTTTTGTCCCAGGGGACAAGACTGGCCAACCCCTGGCTGAACTGGAAGAATAGCTCCCTCAGCTGGCAGGGACCTGCCCCTGTTGCAATTTGGACTGAGTAAGTGCTGGCCAGGATGGACAGAGGCAAACTCTGTACCCTCAGAGAGCTTAGAAGCTAGGGTGGGAAAGCATGGGAAAGGGTCAGACACTCAAGAGAAACAAGTGCTGTTGTCCATCAAAAGTAAACTTACTGCATTCTATAAACTAAAAACAAACAAATGTTCTCCTGCATTGCATAGCAAAGGAAAAGACCAAATGACTCTGCCATGCAACAACTTAGATCAATCTCGCAGATAAAGTTGGACGAAAGAATCCAGACGCAAAAGAGCATGCACAGTATGGAATTCAAAAACAGGCAAAAGTCATCTATGGAGACAGAAGTCAGGGTGGTGGTTTCCTGGTGGGGCTGGTGGAGGATGGGGTTATTGACAGGAAGGAGGCACCAGGGAGCTTTCTGGGGTCCTGGAAATGTTCCATGTCTTCATCTGGGGTGTGATGACGGGGTGGACACATTTGTTAAAAGGCATTGAGTTGCACACCAACATTTGTGTGCTTTGCTGTAAATTTTACTTCCACTTTAAGAAGAAGAGGAGGGAAGAAGAACCCATGGGGAGACCAGCTGGGATCCCCTGCTGCTGACTTGTGGGCATTGCCTTCATGCCCCATGATTGTTGGGCCATTAAGGCCTCCTGGCAGCCTGGTAGACCTAGAACTATCTATGCCAATAAGACACAGATTGTTGGCTCCACCCCCAGTTTTGGAGTCAGGAGGTCTAGTGGGGGGTCCTGGAATTAGCATTTCCAACAAGCCTGCAGGCCATGCTGAAGCTCTGGCCCAGGAAGAGAAGAGACAGTAGAATGTGGTACTGGCTACAGCATGTGTTGTGAGATCCCTCCAAACCGGGAAGGACCCAGGTAAGTTCACAGAGGAGGTGCCCTTGAAAGATCAGTAAGATCTGAAAATGCCCAGACAAGCAGGAACTGCTGGTTCCAGGGAAGGAAGTTAGTGTAAGGCAAAGCAGAGAAGCTGGGAAGTGCGGCGAACAGCATTCCAGGCCTCAGGAGGGCAGGGCTGGCAGACAGATGTCTGAGTCCATTTTGTGCTGCTATAACGGAATACCTGAGACTGGGTCATTTATAATAATCAGACATTTATGTGGCTCATAGTTCTGGAGGCTGGGAAGCCCAAGGGCATGGTGCCAGCCTGAGCCTAGCATTTGGTGAGGGCCTTCTGGCTGCCTCATCCCATGGTAGAAATCAGGAGGGTGAGAGACCAAACTCACAGTCCCAAGGCCTTTTATAA